GAGGGGGGGGACCCGCCCCCCCCCCGCCCCCCCCCCCCGTCGGGGTTCTCGCTGGGCTGTAAGTCACGTTTTTATCATACGCGGTACGCACCGTGATTTTTAATATTAAATACAATACTATTAATACTATTAATACTTCCTACGGAGCCAGGTCCCCCCGCGACGCGCCTGTTCTGTCGTGGAACCCCGGGGCGCTGGAGCAAGTCTATCGCCTCGTACAATACGTAGAGGCGATGGAAACGACATGCATGAGGCATGCATGAGGCATGCATGAGGGTGTAGAAATTAGCGACCTATGTGTGCACTTCTGTGCACTACTGTAAGGTAGATGCACTTGCCGGTTTTTTCTCTGCCTTTATAAGCAAGGCCCTCTCTCGGAGAGCGAGAGAGGAAGAAGGAGAGACAGACAGAATAGTGTTCGACATCCCGCAGGTGGAGTGGCTCGATCACACGAACCCCCATCATTGCGAGATATCAATCCGGTCGAAGGGTTGACCAACATAAAATTCTCTTTATTTTTCCTACCTCACCTGCGTATTTCTGTCAAATACCACAGAGGCAGAGTTGTGACTAAGGGCCGGCGTCGCGTACATCGGCAGCGAAGCTTGTGCGACAAAGGCTTTTCTTCCAACTCACTTCTTACGTCGTCTCTCTCCCGCGAGAGGGAAACAACCCCCATTTCTGCATCCCCATTTCTACATGTGTGACGCGACACCGCAGACTGGCGCTCTGCGCATTTCTGTGGTCGTCAAATCCGTACCAGAAAATTTTTCGAACTTGTTCTGTTCGGGTTCTGGAACATCCGACCCGGAAAACACGCGATCTTCCGTTCTGATCTCGCGCAACAATCAGAACGTTATTGCGGCAGTCGACATGTTCTGCGCCAGTCGCGCCGCTTGCTTGCGACACTCTCGCCACGGCCGCCACGCCTTGGCCGTCACGCCGCGCCCTTCCCCGACGTCGCTGCGCCAATCCCCGCTTGCCGCCCCGCTCCCTGCGCGCCGCGTGCTCTTCGCCCCCCCGCCCCAATTATGGGTCTACTCCCCGCCGCCCCCGGGCCCTGCGCCTCCACCGCGCACCCCTCTCGCAACTCGTGCTGCGCGCGTCGTCGCGAAACCCGCTCCCGCCTTCAGCTCTTTTTTGGGCGCGCCCTGCCTTTTACAACACTATGAAAAACTCCTCCTCGCACGCCGCAGAGATGTGGTCCAGAAGTAGGAGCCCCGCGCCGCGCACGTCTTGTGCGCTACGCCAGGCCCCTTCTCGACTTCGCATCCCGTCGCGCACCCGCGTCGCGTACGCCCAATTACCCTACCCCGCTCACCAACTACCTACCTAACGACTATCTTACCAATATCTTACCGTATAGTACAAAACTCTGCTAATGCACGCGCATCCGAATACAAAAACCGCAAAACAAGAGCGGAAAGAAAGAAAGAAAGAAAAAGACCTGTCCTCACGCCACCGAGTCGGCGAACACGGGGGTGTTGTCCCCGTTTCGGTACACCGTCTTGGAGGGTGACACATAGTACGACGCGATCAGCCCGACCGCCGACACAAAGAACGCCGCCTGCAGGAACGCGTCGTACCCATGCACATCGCGCCCGCCCGCCCCGCCCGCCCCGCCGCACGACGCCACCAGCAGCGAGAACACCGCCCGCCCGGCCCCGATTGCCACGCCTAGCAGCGCGAACGCCATCGTCGCGTTCTCGGGCGCGAACAGGCTGCGCGCCAGGCACGCGGATAGCACGGCCCCCGCGTTGAACGTCACGAACACGCACGCCGTCGCCAGCGTGAAGCCGCCGCCCCACCCGCACCGGATGCACGCGGGCATCACCGCCAGAGCCGTGCTCTGCGTCGCCAGCAGCACCGCGTTGATCCGCTTGGCCCCTAGGAACGCGTGCCCCTGCGTGTCGGCCTGCGGCGTCTGCAAGTCGATCGCGAGGCCCACCACGATGCGCCCTATCACGCCCACCAGCGTCACGTAGAAGAGGAGCCGCGTCGCCGCCGGCAGCTGCACGGCGAACAGCGCGTGCACCATGCGCGGGAACACGAGCACGAAGCCGAAGCCCGGCCCGACCGAGGCCGACACGGACACGAACAGCGTCAGGAACGCCGGGTCGCTCAGGATCTGTCTGGCGGACAGGCGCGCGCGGCCCGTGCGGGGGGGGGGATGCAGCTTTTCTTTATGAGACGCGAGTAGCGCCGTGCTCTCGTTGGGGGGGGAAGGGGGCGCGACGTCAACTACGCAGGAGGCCCTACTCATCGATGGTGCGGCCGGTTGCGCCGCG